AGATAAAACATAATACTGTACCTTGTGTTGGTTAGTCTATGCTTACACACTCCAATTCACTGGTTTTGGTATAGCACAGACCTAATATATCATGGGCAGTTGATGTTTTAAAAAATAAAGAGAGCGAGAAAACTTGAGAGCAAACAAAGAAATAAAACACATTTTTGTTAATCCCAAACTCATAAATTGAGTTTACATCAAGCCAGGTGTCAAAAAACAAAATTATTTATGATTTCCAAGTCTCATTTATATACACAATTAAATCTTTTTAATTCCACGACCTTCTTGATCACCTAGACGTGTGCGTGCAGACAGTGGAGGTGTGAATTTCCATTGTTAACGACTGTCACCATGCAGCCTGACACGAGTCTACCATGCAGCCTTTCTCCATTCTTACCCGTCTTGCAATTAAATATAAGAACTCTCCTATGATGAGCCGTGGGACGAGAAAGGTACGACAGTTGGTTATATATAAACATGAGGTTATTTAAGAGACAACATATCTCATATATGTACATATCATATATGTGAGGTATGCACAGCATTAAGAGTGAAAACTACAGAAAAAGTCGATAAATTGTGAAACTGATTCAAAACTTAAAGATTCAGAAAGAAGTACCATTAAAGTAGTGTAATTAATATTAAATTTGATTTTAATGTGTCATAACCTCCTTTATTTAAATAATTTAGGGTCTTTGTTTACATAAAAATCTTGCTGGAAAGCCTTTTGTCTAATCTATCTGCATGTTATATGAACGTGTTTTGAAAGTACATAATTCTAAATTACTTATCCGTTCTTTTACTTGTAATTGAACGTCCAAAGACGCTATAAAATACAAACTCGTACCATAGACTCCTAATCTCCTATACTTATTCCAACTCTCTACAATACTCTCTTGTATATTTGACAATGTTTTTGGATATGCTATAGACAACTTTTTATGTAGAGTAACTGGGTGGATTATGAGGTGCATTATTTATTTATGTTATTTTATCAACTGTAGGCCTAAAACAATATTATTAAATACTAACCAAATCATCCTCTAGGCTCATCACTCATCAGAAATTAACAACATATCAAAACATGTTTGAGATTTTACAGTAGGATCACAAGTCTGTAACAGTATCCAAAGTCAATGCTCTAACTAACTGCGTTTATGGGTAAAAAAACATCCGTAGAAAGTTTCCAAATAAAATTATAAAATACCTTATATTTAACTAGTTGCTGTACCCGTGCTTCACAACGGGAAGACAAATCAGTTTCATAATCATTGAAATAGATTTAAAATATTTAATCCATCATAAAGTTTTAGATTATATATATAATCCTACCACACAGTTAGTTGTGTAAAATTTATTTAATTTCTTTGGATCAGCTGTCTGAAATTGTGAAATGATAATTTGGCATTTCTGATTGTTTACATTGCCAACGCAAAGGTAAACATTGTGAATTTTCTCTAATATTTGCTTATAATATTAGACCTCTAAGATTATTTCTCTAATATAAACCTCACCACAAAACTTCGGACATCCAAGGGGCGTAGCCCGAGAGGAACTGAGGGAAGTGAATAGGCCTATGATATTCCTAGATATGTTCCTAATCTCATCTTTTTTCTTAATGTTGGCTGTATCGGTTTAGTTTTTTGGGTGATGTTGAGCTGCGCATGTCGTTCTTAAAATTCAGGGACTACCCGAAATAATTGGTCGTGCTGCGCATGTGGCTTCGTCAACAAACAAATAATAATTATGTTTATGATTACTATACAGTACTTCTTTACCAGGTAAGCTACATACTATTCTATGTCATTAAAATTTTAATATTTAAATGGATTAGTTTTGATTAGGGTAAATTATTATAAATGCTTAGGTTACGGGGAACTAGGACATAAAATTCGAAGAATTCAATTTGAAGATGGTGCCGCAATTCCCCCAGTGCTCTATTGAGCTTTCATTTTATTTCTTTATACATCCCAAGTAGCTAGTATTTTAAAATTAAAATCTTTTCTATGTAATTTTGGGTAAATGAATTTGTTTATTTACTACGAGCTGATTTTTGTAAAAAGGGACTTAATTTATTTGATCACAACGTATTTGGGGAGTGAAACGGTTGATATGTCAGATCAAAGTAGGATTCGCGAATTTCAAGTTGCAGTAAAGCTGTTCCAAGGATAAGTGAGGGGTCAAAGGTTACATGTTATACAATATACTTGAACATGCAGCCTTGACTTGGCCAGTTTTATCGTTAACCACAGTTCCCAACAAACAAGCCATTACACCCAGTGGTGCTCATCGGTGCACTAAGTGTTTCCATAGATGTTTATTTACCAACAAAATCTGTTGTTTGACGTTTTACAAAAAAAATTCCAGACAAAGATAAGAATACTATTTTGTAATTAACTTACCTGCAGGATTGTGTGATCAGTATTGTGGCTTTTTTTTACATAAAAGTATCGAATTTGAATTGATTGTGATTAATTAATGCTTATCTCACTGTAAAATCAGAAGTATGTTATTTCACCACACTACGATGTTTTAGCAGTTTTTTTTGTTTATTGCACGAATACTAGAAAAGACCCGATGTGGATCATAAACATAAAAAATGACGTTTTTGGCCCGAAAGTAAACAAAACCATATGTTAATTAATGCTATTAGTATAGGGGTTTTGTTTACTTTCGGACCAAAAACGTAATTTGTTTATATTTATGATCCATACCGGTGGTTTATTGGAGGCCGAAAGCTACGTGTTGCTGTCCATGTCAGCTGTCATTCAAGCAGGTTTTTACATCCTAAGGGCCGAAAATCAACTGTCCACTTACTTTCTTTATACATTAACGCATATTAAATACACCATCTGTATCCATTGCATTGCATTATTGCAATAGACTTTTTTTATTGTCACTGCTTCCTAGCAACTATTTATTATTATTTTTGCCGATTCCTAAAATTATTTCTTCACATAACCTTAAAGTTGTAGTTGTGTTGACTGTTAGTGTGCATTATTATTATGGTCAATAGTGGTAATAGGGTATAGTGTGGTGAAAAATAGCGTTGTTCGTACCACGGACCGAAATGGTTTTGCAAAACCTAATTTTCGGCCCTAGGTACGAAATATACTATTTCAGTCTGGTTACCTTTGAGTTAGGATGTGTTTAAAAGGTTGACCATCCTATTTATTCTTTAGCGCTGTATCAGTTGTGGCCACGCAATAGCTTATAATTGATTGTTCCTTTATTTGAACACCTTTTTCGATACTAAAATGAGAATACTGTGGATATTTAAAATACCTGTATAAAATAAACCAACCATGATTACAGAAACAAAATCCAAATGCACTTATGATCTTGAATGCAGTTCACTCAATGAATATAAAACCTGGTTTGTACTCATAGTTTCTGCTGTGTGGCAGACTAAAATGAATAATAATAATAATAATAATGATGTTATAAAATGTAAATAGTGAATAGTCAGTCATAACTGAATAGTGAAAATATGGAGAATTGACCTTCAAAACCTCAAAACTTTCGACGTCCGTGGGGCGTGGACCTAGGAGATTTAAGGACAACAATAAGAATACGTAATTTCAAATCTCAGACCAGTCATTTGGAAAATACAGAGAGTCTACAGTGGAAGTAAATACCCAATAGGAAAAAGTGTCCACCGATACAAAACACACTTGAAAGAGTTTTTCAGCCCTAAAGTGAAATTTAAGTTTTTTTTTATACCCAAGGCTTTTGATTTTTGCCCCTTCAGGAGCACTTTCCAGTAGGAAAATCTGCGATCATTGATGATCCAATAGTCGAGTTGAAAGCGCTAACCTAACCTCAACTGTAGCTACGGGCAAAACATCTGCTCCACAGCTGATTTCTAACCTACCTTTCCCATAATCAGCTGATCGAATCCGTGAAATATGGAGCTGGCTTATCACAAGGCATGTTTTTTCTATACTCATTGTGTTGGCTACTTGTACATTACTATTGTTATGACTGGAGATATCACCCCTAAGAAAGTCCGAGCCATTTCCAACGATTTTATCGTGTCAAAAGGTTGTAAACATTTGCAATTTATTCGTTAGATAGAAACAACTGGGTTGGAGCAAAACCCCATCCGGAAAAATGTAAAACAAAACTATCTATTCATTTATCGTAAATGTATGACTAATTAACTAAACAACACTACAGCTAGTATCAATTTTTTTTAAAAAACCACCAAGCTGGCGCAGCTTTTTTCCACACAGATGCTGATTTTCTAACTTTATGCGAACAAACCATTGGCTGTTCGTATACAACACAGGTTTTGAGCTTTGTCATTACCAACATAGGCTATGAGGAGGCCTATGTTGGCTTCGTCATAAGTACTTAATATTTCTCATTTGAAAATATTATCTCGAGGTTCTTACATTAATATAAGACTTGAAATTTTAAAATCTATCTTTTTACAAAGTGTGCTTATTATTTTAGTTGCTACACATTGCTTTGGTCTCTATAGTCAATAGTTATATTTACTTTCTTTTGAGATTACCATAAAAGAATCTAGAACTTAGTCAAATAATCCACACTACATGTGGATATCTATTCCAGTAACCAGCCAAATTTTATATGTGCTTTCAAAATCCGCCGAAGTCACTTAAAGGTTGCCAAATTAAAGAACACACTAATTTAAAAAATCCCCAAATCTCCCAAACGATAATAGTGACCTACGGAATCCGAAGGGGAGCCTCTTAAAGAATACCGAAGTATGTCCAACAGAGCTAAATCCTTGTGAGATACCACTGGTTTATGTTATTATTATATGTACTACTATGAATCTATGTACTACGTACTATAATATAATCGTAACCCATGTAACCTCCCTAGAAGGCAAACCTCTCGAGGGTTACCGAAGAATCTCCAGCTCTGACACGACTTCTGACTTCAAAGATCGGCCGTGGACGGCTACCGTGGATGAAAGTACCAGGTACCACGGTGCCTGCTGGGAGGGGGGAAGGGAAGATACCCGACTCTCTCGTCCGTCGTCCACACTCCGCTGTGAACCGCGGACGAGGATGGAAAAGCAACAGGATAGCATCTCTACCGTCGGGGTGGGAAAGGAGTACCCTCCCAGCGAGGCCTACTCTTCGGAGCCTCCCCCGGTGAGTAGATACTAGTGTTTTGTGTTGTTGAATTTTACCCCCTGGATTGCATTTATTGAACTATTTAGTATTAGGTTAGATGGATTGGTATGTAAAAGATATCTTGTCTAGAAGCGGTGAGCCAATTCTGCAAGGAGTCGATGATAGTAGCAGCTGTAGATATAGTCGGCTAGTATATTTAGTAGGCAGAGTAGACCTAATTTTTCTATTAATAGATTCTCTGCACATCCAATCAACGGGTAAATTAATTATTCTATAAGGCGCATTTAATGTGAATGTAACTTTTATTATTTAGCATTCCAGGCGATGTATCTTTTGCAGTAGCCAAAATATAAACCGTACAAAAATGCCTTATAAAACCGAAAATCGCGTTTTTAGGGTATTCGACCAAAGTTTAGTCCAACCATATCAAGCATTTTTATTTGAGGTTTATTGTAATATTCGTTTAGCAATTTATGATAAAAACAGGGCTCTCTTCTAAGAGTCACTATTTTTGTGAAACCATCTTGCAAAATTGAATATTCGATTTATAACCTTTATATTTTTAAGTGCATAGTCACCCTCCTTTATTATATTTATACAAACTTACTTATTATCTCACTCAATCGCGAATGTTTAGACCATTTATAGAGAATTATAAAAAAACCCTAACAAGAAGATGCAAGAACTGTATGATAATTTATTTGTTAGAGCAGTACGTATAAAATTAAAGCTTTCAAGCTTAACAAAGCCCTGACCTTCAGGTAGGATGAAAGTGTAGGCAGTGAGGTCGATTGTTGTTGTTTTGTGGGAGTGATTAATTAATTGTAGTATTCTAAATAAAGGACCCCGGATACTTTTATTTGTGCCACTCTTTGTTTATAATTCGACAAAGCGTGTTTGGTGAAGAATATTAAGCTCTTAGCACTTGAAGAACAATTAAGAAAATAAGAAATTTTAATTAAATATATTTTATAAGAATATTGTCAACTGTTGTACGAAATGTAATATCTAAGTGACCACGAATTGGACATTTCGTTCCTTAACGAGTTGTAACTATTTTTAGAATTTATAACTCTTTGATTGAAAACCAGATGGACCAATGGACTGTAAAAAACTGTGTGTGTGTGTGCTAAAACGGATTTTCTTCTTTAAACGCCATCTTTAAACTATTCAAAGTTAAATAGTAACTCATCGTATAGCAAGTCAACTGTGGTAGTTTTAAAAGCTAACATAGAAAAACAAACTACTACTAGAATACTTGTTGTGACACTTAATAAACTATGGCTAAACATTAGCTTCAGCTGGCCCATGTATATTTCTTCTTTTATATTTAAAATCTAACAATATTCGTAAAAAAACTCCAAAAAGTAATAAATCTTTTTCAAAAATGTGTCAATGTATTCAAGTATGTACAATTAAGTAAATCTTTTGCTATAATGTTGACATGTACTTTCATAAAATAAAAACTGTAACACTTTAGGCCACTTCCTTAGGTTCTACAAACCCTTTCCGTTTAAAACATTCCAATTTTAACATTTGCCCAAACAAATTCTAGTTAATGTATTCTTGACATATAAACAATTAATCGTTGTTTTGGTTCGCTCAGTTTTATATTATTTGAATACTCACTGTTTCTGTCTTATTTTTTGTACGTTACACAAGTTTTTGAGATTTAGAGTGGCTATACACTCAGCCTTGTACAGGGGAAGTAGGCAAGGTAAACACACAAAGCTAGCTTCCCACCCATACCTTTCGGAAACTTCGCGTTCACATTCAGACAAAAATAGCTTCTACAAGGACATCCCTTAAATACATTGTGCTATCTGGAAATTGTATTTTGTGACAGGGCTCATAGCACGGTACATCCATTGGGTGATGGGCTAAGAGTCGAACACTGAGTCATACAGATAACGACTGCTCTTAAGGGAGGAGGGTCGAGCGAGTACCTTGGGGGAGCGAGCTGGTCTAGTGATTAGAGTGTGGGACTCCGGTTCCTGGGGTCACGGGTTCAAATCCCACCAAATCACCAATGGATTTTATCTAAGTGATAATGCCGTAACCCCTAGGTCTAGCCTGAAGTAATGTGAAAAACAATTCCGTGTTCGTGCCTAGCGTCTTAGGAAAAAAATGGAGCAGGGTCAAACACTGTACAGTGTACAAACGCCAAATAAAGAATCGCTAGTTTGGTTTAACGATACTTGGAAGGAGAGGATAATTTGAATTTGTTTTTAAGACTGATATTTTAAAAACTCGTTTATGATTAGTTAATTTTGTAATTTTTTAATAAGAACTTGTACAAACCACATAGTCTATTTATCAGAATTTTCAATATCATGGTTATACACGTTTGTAACATGCACTCAATATTTGTTATAGCATTGTAGCGCGAAATTTAATTGTATATAAAAGTTTAACGAAACTTGTACTCATTTCCAATTAGCCGTTTTGACTTAAATATCAAACTCAATGATGCAAGTAAACTTAAAACTTTCAATGAAGAATTTCTCTAAATATGCTGAACAATTTTAAATAAATCGTTGAGTTTGTGAGATGAACAGTAAGCTGAAATAGAAGTTCGAGATATTTAAATCATTCGAGAACTAGTGCATTTTAGAATGTATGCCGAAGCGAAATGGATTGAACGGAAAGAAGGGCATCCTTGTTTGGCATTACAGTATTTGTAAGTTTCCCAAAATACATTCTTGATAATACTTTCTTTAATTCAAAGCAAGGGAATTCCTGTTTCTTGATCTGATAAATCCAACACATTGGTTGAGACAACAGTTACACAGTTCCTGATTTAGTATCGAGTATTAGGAAATGGCTACTGACTAGGAAACATATCTCTGCGTTTTAAAATATTTAATAGTTTTCTTATTTTTCTCCAATTATTTTTTCATTACATTGTTTGGATCAAGTATACTTGGATAAAGTCAGTATTTCTCTATAAAGTCAGGCTCTCTATCTCTTATGGAGCATTTTTGAACTGCCAAGAATCTATATATAAAATAATGGCTATTTTTTAGTAGTAGCTTATCACAACACAAAATACAACTAATTCGCTTCGTTTCCTCGTGCCATCAAAAGTTAAATCAGGAACTAACGAATTTTCTTGCAAAATTGAAGAAGAACGGGGGAGGGCACGCTTCGTTGACTTTTACCTTTTGTTTACTCCTTTTGGACGGACTATTGTTTTGAATTGATACGTTTTAAATTCACTTAGGTTGACAATGTCATTTTAAGATGTTGATCAGCTCATTAAATTAAACGTGTAGTGCGTCAGTGTAAACGTTTTATGTTACTTTGAATGTTAAAACAACTGATTATTATGTAATAAAATTACCTCTAATATTATTTTTGATTCTTATTGATCATCTGATGATTTTGAAGTATTCTGTCTGGTTTAGGTCAGTGTGTTTTGTGTTTCCATTCATTTTACAAATTTTTACAACCAAACACAATAATTTATTTTCCTACAGTCACCCGACAAAGTTGGCTTCCTTGTACTGTTTATAGTACAGAAAGCTGCTAATTGCTGCATATTTATACTTTGCCGTACGGTTTATACTTTGCCGTACGGTTTATACTTTGCCGCACATCAGGATTCCAACGAAACAACACAAAACAGCGTGGTTCTATCATGCACTTAATCCGTGTACGCTTGGAAATAGGTTGGCAACACTAAAAGATAATAATACTATGAGCAGCTGATTGACTATTATAACTACGATTTAACCTGTCATTTCGTGTTTATAGTTTAGGTATTTCTGAACTTTCTGGACTTTTCATTTAAACGTTTTTAAACCATTCCTACGATCTTAATAAACAAGAAAATCCCTTTAACGCATTTTTTTTGGCGCGGAAACCACTTCAAATTACAAAAACATACGGAACTATATTCTCAAAACGCGGAGCACATTTCTTGCCGAGGAAAAATAGCGGAGTGATACAGACCGCGGGTACTACTTTCTCTAGGGCACCTATTTGTGTTGCCAGCTGAACCTAAAAACGTGTTGTATAGTGTTTGAAAGACTAATTATTTATACGAGAGGTCGTCCAGTGGTCGAAACTCGACCATAAATATGTAATGTAAACTTACTCACTTCTCTATTTTCACCCCACACTGTAAATAAAACATGTGATTGGAGTTTCTTCCATTTGTTTTGATTTTATGTTTATATTTCGTTGTTATTTCGTCACCAGCATGGCAACGCATAAGATCCATGTTAATTTTTTCAAATTTTTAAACTCATTTTTTGTGCTTATCTTTGAGCCTATTTAAATTTATAAAGGGATTCTGCACACCTACAGGAAAGTAGCTTTCTAACGGTATGCGTAGATTTACCCCACGATGCACACGAGCTGAGAAAAAAGGTTTTAAAGAAACATGCTTGCCTATTAATATATAGATAGATGCTTTATAGTGACTGTAGGAAAAATATAATGTGTAACACGAGTGAAAAAGGCCTTTCACCACTAGTTACACAAATAACTATTGTAAACAGTCACTTATGTATCCGCATTAATACCAGAACGTAATCGTGTATATTGTAAAATTCAATCTAAAATGGGAATGATACATTTCATCATAACGAGCCTAATAAAGTGAATCAATTTGTCGTATGGTCGCTATTTCAAAAGTAAAAGTATTAAAAAATGTATTTGTGGCCCAAATCAAAACAAACTTCAAATTTTCCAATTGCGTCTGATGTCTATTTTCAGAGTCTAAATTTAAAGACCAGTGTCACTGTTTTGAAATGAATGTTCTTCAATGCAATTGAAAAAATCTTTAATGACATGGTCAAGCCACGGACATGGTGGGGTTCACGAGACTTTATCAATACGACGAGATCTCTACTTGTGGTATCTAAAAATTCAAAAGGGTAAGGTTCTAAAAATTCATGTGAAAACATTCAACAAGCTCAAGTCCAATCCACCGAATTTTGCAATAGGATGCGAATTCTACTTATAAAGTAGTAGTGAAATCCAATAACCAAAGACGGTATGAAGAAGATACG